ATTGTGTTGCTTATACTATTTGAAATTACAACGTTAGAGGAATCAATAAAAAGTAGTATTGATTCAGAAAGACTTCATTTAATAAGCGATCTTTGCATGAATATGAAAAGGATCGCCTGTGTACGCAGACTTTCGGAGGCAAGTGTATATCGTACAGGGCAAGTATATATCGTTCTTTAGGCATTTTTGATATGCTCTCAACAAGGAATATGGTTTTGTAGAGTTTGGGCGTTATTTTTAAGACACCCTGTATATTTAAAGAGAAAATACTGGGTAATGAAAATTGCTCTGAAGCTTTCTCAACTTACATGTTCTGTGTTCTATTTTAGAATTATTACTAAACCTAGTGAAAAATAAAGTAAAAATGTGAAAAAGTTTACAGACAAGCTGCACTTGTTCGTTTATTGCAGAATAAAACCCGAAACTTTACTTGCCTTCAAAAACAAACAAACAGAAAGCACCTCTTTCTCAACGGTTACATTGTGTTCGTTCCCTGTGTATAGTGTTATTTTTGAAATTCACCTCCCTCTATAACGTTCTTCACACTTGATGTGTTCCGGTGTTCGTCGATGCGTTCAAGTAGAAGTACTTAGAGGCCGTTTTCCGGAGATCATAAACAACATCTGCTGTCGTAAATCGCATGAAACGATTTCGTAATCATTAGGTAATAACAGCTTCGTTTGCGTCTGCAATTAAAGCAGTGAACACTGGTAATGCGGATATATAATTACGATTGAAATCATTTGTGTGTGTTGTGAACGAGTAACGTAATTCTGTTGCAATTTATTGCATAAAATGAACTTTGTTAATTGCAATCAAGTTACTTACAAAGCACAAGTAATATAAAAAAAATTTAAGTCAATTCCTACTTAGATCAATGAACAAAGAAAATTTTTATTTTGGATGCTTTTAATTAAATAGTTGCAACTAATATAAATATGTAAATATATACATATGACACAATCACAACATTAAGTGGTAATTAATTTTGATTAATTATCATTAAAGAATCGTATTGTCATCCAAAACAATCGTGTGTATAAAATTTCAGTTCAACTGAATGCTTTAAAACGTGAGAAAAAAACCTCTTCAAGTTTTGACACAAGTCACCAAAAGTGATGCCAACGTGACTGTATTTAAATAATTAGTTTTAATCAATTAATTTTTATCAAATTATTGTATTGTCATCCAAAATAATCACGTATATAAAATTTTAGTCCAATTAAGCGCTTTGAAATTAAACGATTGAAAATTCCACGAAGATAAATAAATAAATAGAAAGTGTGCGCTAATAGAGTAGGAACTGAAAAAAAAAAGAATATTGGAATTCCCAAGTTTCTCTTTGAGGGCTTTAGGGCTGATAATATTTCAGGTTTCAGGGTTTAACACTAAATCAAGCGGAAAGAATAAAAATTTATATTGAATTTATTGAGATAAAATAGTAAGTGAAATGAATTAATCAAAGTTAATAAGTTATTAGCATAAAATTAAAATAATTACTGATGATTCATGGGAAAGTAACATTTAAAAATCGAAAGTCATGACTATGATTGGAAGTTTTTATGATTTTTATCTAAAACAGCCTTGAATCATAAATGAGTTGCAAATACTTTAATAATGTTACTAATATATGTGTATTTTTACATAACGATTACAATGTCTTCTAAACTAATGCTTGAGGAAATTTACACATTGATTATTTCCCTGATTTCAATGATTTCTCAACTTTTAGTGGATGATTCGTAGAATAATGTGAATACGTATAGGATATTCTTAAGTTTAAAATCCCAAATAAAGAAATAAATATTTATTAGAGCTTTTCTTATTCTTTCTTATCTTTAGAGAAAGAGGCCTTGAAAATGGGTCTGAAAACCAAAAGGACCAAATACATGCCTTACACTAAATCATGTTTTAACAATTCCCACTTTAAAATTCAAGAGTATAATTTTGAAGTTGTTGACAGTTTCACTTATTTAGGTTCGGAAATTAACAATAGAAACGATTGTACTACTGAAATCCAAAAGAGAATTACTACGGCTAATAGATGTTTTTATGGAATACGAAAATATATGAAATCCAATTTAATCAAAAGAAAAACAAAAAGGTTCTATTATAAAAAAGTCTTTTAAGATCAGTATTAACCTCTGCATGTGAAACTTGGTCCATGTCTCGAACAGATGAGAACACGATAAGTATCTATGAAAGGAAGATTTTAAGATTTATTTTTGGAGGAATTCAGGAAAATGGAACGTGGCGAAGAAGATCAAATTTCGAGATCTATCAATCATATAAAGAATCTGACATAGTTAACTTCATCAAAATACAACGAATTAAATGGGCAGTTCACGTTATCAGAATGGACGAAGACCGAACCACTAAAAATGTCTTCAATGCCCAACCAATTGACACACGAAGAAAGGGCAGGCCAAATCTTAGATGGGTTGATGGCCTGGAAAAAGATCTCCTAGTTTTGAGAATTAAGAATTGGTGAACATAATCAGGAAGAAGGCTAGCCTGGAAAATGCTTCTTGAGAAGGTCAAGATCCACCCTGAGCTGTCGAGCCACTGAGAAAGGAAATAAGAGCTTTTTATTCATTAATTTAAATTATAAAACCGTTTTTAAACACCGAGAGTTTATATAAATGAAAATATTTTTTTTAGTTAACTTCGGAAATGTATAGTTGCCTTATGTAAGTTATCATTTTACGAAATCAGAGATATCAGATCAAATAATATTAACTTTTTTCATGTATTACAGAAAGAGTTCCTCAGCATCTCCAATTTAAATTCCTCCGTGTAGTCAATTCTACTTAAACATTGCCGAATGATTCCAACGAATAATTGCTTCATTATTAACTTCGCATTTGGAAGCTATTTGAGGGCTATTAGTGACGGTCTTCAAAATGTTGAGTCAAAATCAAGTGACTGAGCTCGCGTCTCACTCTCCAAACATCAGGACCACGCTTACGTGAGGGCTTTAAGCCTAGGTAGATTTAACGTGTCAGCCTCGTTGTAAAAGAGAGATCTTTGGCGGCACCAGGACTCGAAACTAACACCCAACAGAAACTAGTCTCGAATTATCGAGCACTCGGCTTCTACGGCCACTCTAGTTTCCACAAAAATAAACAGTTTGATATTTCATTGTAATATAAGAATGGATTTCTGTACTAATTAGTGATTCGGAAATTCAAACCCTGTTTCAACTGAAGGCCATCATTGAGCAGGTAATGATAAACTCTGTTACATGTTAAAGTTCAAAAAGTCAATTCATTACTCTGCATTTCGTCGAATTTAATTAATATATTGGTTAAAAATGGAAGATTAGAATCGATTGAATTAACTTCGCTCTAAATCTACACTTAGGGTATTGAAAACAGATTTCATATTTGAGCATAACATTCAAAAAATGAGGATGATACCTGCAGTGGTACTACCATATCACACCATAAAAGAATTTTAAGGCCTCGTTCCATTTACTGAGTAGGAATCCATCTCGGTGGGTATTCGGGAAAGGAGCACTTGAAACCACTGTTAGATTATTAGATTATTTCCCGTTCATCGAACAATACTAAACAAAACATGGTTCTTCGACACAAGTATAATATCTTATACTGTCTATGCTACAGTAAGAGTAATGTGACACAATTCACTGATACAATGAATACAACAATTGCAGTGCGTTGAAAAAAGCAATTCATTGCAGTTGTCTGTAATTTAAAGATAAATATGTTTGGCATTACATAAAAGTGTTACCGTAACAGTTTTAAGTCATTTCGATAACATGACGATGGAATAAAATGGAGATTGATTCATTGTTTATTGTTTACTCGTTGCCAATAGCATTCTAACCATACGAGGACTGTCCGCGCGTGAGTGAGTGAGTGAATATTAACGTCGCACGGTTCAGCTACACGAGGGCTTTTGGCGACGGACGTCGCAAATTTTGATCAATGGTCAAGTGACAAGGACGTCACCTGAGCTGGCAACCCCCTCTCCTAAATACTACACCACACCAACGAGAAGAAGTTTCAGCTCTCGACAGATTTAACGTGCATCTCTGCCCTACACGGTGGATCTTTAGTGGTACTGGGCTCAAACTAGTGACAAGACAGCCACGATCCAATACCTTGACAACTAGACTTCCGCGGCCGATGGCTATCCGCAACGAGCCTCATAAATTTTGAACATTCTTCAAGTGACTAGGACAACACACACCTGAGCTTGTTTTTTCCATTCTTCAAACCTCCACACCACGCCAATGTGAGGACTTTGGGCCTCAACAGATTTGACGTCCATCAGACTCTCTTCAGTGGCAGTAGGACTCAAACTTGCAACTCGGCAACGCCGGTTACGAGTTCCGATCATGACCACTCGGCTCTGTTTCATTACTAAATAACTTAAAGGTGAACTAAGAAATAACAAGTGATATAAAAAGAAAATTTAATGTCTATTCCTACTTAGGTCAACAAAGAAAAATTTTATTTTAGTTACTTTTTATTAAATACTTACAATTAATTTAAATATGTATATACATATGACAGAATCACACTATTGAGTGACTAAATAGAAAGCAATTTTCCATTTTCCTTTCTATATACGGTGTTGGACTATTTGTTTTGTTTAACTTAACTTAACTAAACTCAGAGGCGTGACATCCCATGAAGGACAAGGCCTACTGTGCCAAACTTAGTATACGCGACTTTCGGCCCTGAGATGCATGAGCAGATGTTCCGGTCAGGTTTTCAATCTGACGCTAAAAACCCCAGTTTTAAGTTCCCAAGCAAGCTTAGTACTCAATTATCGACCCATTGAAGGGATTAAAGGCTGAGTCAACCTTGCCGAGTCCGGGTTTTGAACCTCGGACTTGTGATGTAGAAGCTAGATGCACTAACCACTCAGCCACTTTGCTTCTTTTTTATTATTCTTTATTCATTCATCAAATTTAATTATGCTATTAAAATAGTATAGTAAAAAAGAAATCACATTCTCAGAAATTAGGCCATCCCAGGTGGGATTCCAACCCACGACCTTTGGATTATAAGTCCAACGCGCCACCCATTAAGCTACAGGGACACAATAAACGATTTTCTTTCCTATATATGGTGTTGGACTATTATTTTTTGTTTGCTACTATTTATTCTTTTTTAAAAAATTAAATTAATGATTTAATACTTGAAAAAATTGTATTAGCATCAAGTGTCATTCACTACAAGTTTAAAGAAATGATTGGATGAATAGAAAGTATTTTATTAACGATTGATAATTTGACAATATATATATACTTGTTAAACTCTGTTCCTTTTTCAATTCCTACTACTATTGTAATTCTCGCCCTATATATATATATATATATATATATATATATATATATATATATATATATACTGGTGTGTGAAAATTAAGGACGAGACGGTTTTTTCAATATAACTTTGTACAAAAGCTTTCCAAATCAACACATTTAATACCTAAGATCCCCAATACGCGTAAGGGCATGTGTAATATGTAAGCAACACTTACTAAAAGAGAAATCAGAGGGATAAAAAGAAGCTTGATTGAAAAAGTAGCATGGAGCGCAATGCGACTGAAGGCCGAAACATCCCTGTGATGGGTGTCCAGCAAGAAACATCCGGTCTTTAGTAGGGGATATAATCTCCCCTGACTGCTAGGCAGGTTTCACAGCGTCTGCCCATGCTGAGAATGAGGGTGTCAATGAGTTGTTGAGGCATTGCTGCCCATTCGTCTTGCAGCGCCAATCGAAGCTCCCGAATCGTTACCGGAGGTAAGGTACGAGCTGCCAAGCGTCTGCCTAGAAAATCCCATACATGCTCGATGGGATTGAGATCCGGAGATCGTGCCGGCCAATCCATACGCTTAATATCCTCACTCTCTAAAAGCTGTTCGGCAGCTACTGTGTGATGACATGGTGCATTGTCGTGCATATGGAAGAAGAATCTCGTTACAATAACGGGTCCCGTTGACTGAACCTGCGTCGAAGATGTGAAGGTCTGTACGACTACCAAGCATGATGCCTCCCCAAACGAGAACAACGCGACCTCCATAGCTGTCCCTTTCAATGATGTTCGAGGGATGATTGCGGCTTCCCCGCTCTCTCCAGATGAGTATGCGATGAGAATCGCTACTCAAACTGAATCTGCTCTCATCTGTAAAGAGTACTCGTCCCCATTCATTGTCTCTCCCATTCCGGTGTTTCCGGCACCACAGAGAACGCCTTCTCCGATGGGCAGGCGTTAAAGGTACACACCGTACAGAGCGTCGTGCAAGCAGACCACCACCGTGCAGTCTTCTGGCCACGGTAAAACGCGATATCGGTCGTCCAGTCGCCTGTGTCGTGTGTCTAGCGATTTCTCCCGCTGTCTTCCGCCTGTTTCTTCTGGCCTGTAAGACAATGTACCGGTCATCTGCGGGTGTGGTTCCTCGTGGACGACCACTACTGAACCCCCGGATAGCTGTTCCTGTAGTTTGAAATTGTCTCCAAAGTCGTGAAACGATGCTGTGAGCAATTCCGAACTCTGAAGCCACACTTGTCACACTTCGGCCTTCCTCCAACTTCCCAATGATTCGACCTCGGGTAAAAGCATTCAGATGTCGTCTAACAGATTGATTATTCGCCATTTCTCGCTGAGGCAGCAACTCGGTGTGATTTTAACTGCTATACGCCGTGCAATCTCTTTGCCAGAAATACTGATCTTACACCGACAACATGCTTTATACTACTCAGACACTCCCACATTACGTCTACCTGCATATCTGCGCATGTGCTACCGTACATCACCTTACTTAATCTCCTGATTGATCTTTCTGTCCGCTCTGTCTCTTCGTTCAGCTGATATGCTAATTTTTCGACTTCGTCCTTAATTTTTGCACACCAGTGTATATATATATATATATAGGGGGAATTATACAATAGTAGTAGGAATTGAACAGAGTTGAACAAGTAATACTCTGCTATTAACGACGGACCTCGTAATTTTGAACCGTAGTTAGGTGACAAGGACAATTCCTGAGCTGACACTTCGTTCTTCAAACTTTCACACCCCGCCAATATAAGGATTTTGAGATTCGACAGATTTAATATGCGTCCGCCTCTCTACAAGGCGGGTCTTCAATATATCACCAGGTCTCAAACTAACGAATGTAACACCCCTGGCATCGAATTCGCGATCATGGTCTGGAAAAATGTGAAGTCTCTGAATAAAATGGAGATAGTTATTTTTCATAATGATATAGATTACATTATAACATCATCTGATGTTTTATATTTCACTAGCTGAAGGTTGAAAAATTACATTACTTTTGTTCGAAATTAGGGAAAAGGACAAAATACGCTTAATTAAGTAAAGATATTAAAACACTTAAAAAATAAATTTTTAAAAAAATAAACGGTGAATTTCAAAACATTCTCAACGAGAAAAGCATAATGAATTTTAGTTTCTACGTGCCAAGTTTCATATGCCTGGATTACTTTCAATTTGGCCGAAACATCTGAAAATTTATTATTATACACTGCTGGACACCGTAAATGCAACACCCAGAAGAAAGCATGCAAATAACATAAAATTAACAGCATGCATTAGCGAAGGTGAGATATGCAAATAATTAGAATTTCAGCGCAGACACACATCACGCACGCCTGTGGCGCCACCACAAAGCGCTATTTAAGGCTTACAGATTTCGACGATTTCAAGTTCGGCAATAGTGTTTTTCTTGTGGTTTTATCAAAAGAAAGATCAGTTATGTCTCGTAGAAAACAGCGATCAGCTTTTCATCAAGTATCCGAGTTCGACAGAGGAAGGATTGTGGCCTACCGAGATTGTGGATTATCTTTCAGAGAAATCGGTAGTCGTGTGGACGAAACCAAACAACTGTAATGCGGATATGTGACCGTTGGATGCAGGAGGGTATGACGGACCGACGTGGTCGATCGCATCCACCTCAGTGCACCCTTTCACGTGAGGACAAGCAAATTGTGCGCAAGGTAGTGACGGATCGCTCAGTCACATCACGAACCATAGCACAGCACATTGAGTCTGTAACGCATCATTCAATGTCTGCGTGTACCATCCGAAGCCGTTTACAGCAGAGTGGTCTGTCCTCAAGACGTCCATTTCTTGGTCTACCCTTGACGCAGAACCACAGACGTCTCCGCCACCAATGGTGTGATGAAAGAAGGATGTGGGCGGCAGAATGGAATGAAGTTGTCTTTACTGACGAGTCACGCATCTGTCTGCAACACCACGATGGTCGGATTCGAGTCTGAAGATACCGTGGAGAGAGGATGCTGAACAGCTGCGTTATGCACCGCCACACTGGTCCTGCACTGGGTATCACGGTATGGGGCGGTATTGGGTATTATGGTACTCTCACATTTCTCTAGTACGCATTACCGGTACTTTAAACAGCCAGCGCTACATCTCCGAGGTGCTGGAGCCAGTTGTCCTTCCTTACCTTCAGGGCTTGGCCACAGCCATATTTCAACAGGATAATGCGCGACCACACGTGGCACGCATTGTCCAAAGGTTCTTCGTCAATCACCAGATTGAATTGCTTCCCTGGCTGGCTCGCTCTCCGGATCTTTCTCCGATACAAAACATGTGGTCCACGGTTGCTCAACGATTGACCCAGATTACACCCCCAGCTGCCACACCAGATCAACGTTGGCAACGTGTGGAAGCTGCTTGGTCTGCTGTACCCCAAGAACACATGCAAAGTCTCTTTGAATCAATACCGAGGCGTGTGGTAGCGGTGATCTCCACAATGGAGGCTATTCTGGCTACTGATTCTGGCAGAAACCACACTTCACAGAGGTCTATGAATTTAATCCTTTGATACTTGTGGTCAGCATGTTATCTACAAAATAAATTTTGTTGTGCTATCTCTTGTCTCTCTTGGTGTTGCATTTACGGTGACCAGCAGTGTAGAATAGATCAGGGGTGATAGTATAGACCTTTTATTAGTATATATCAGGGGTGGGCAAAGTTTTCCAGGGAACGGGCTACTTCTAATTTTAGCGGTCCACCCAGTGTTAGTGGCGTACACAAGGGGGGGACGAGGTCCATGGGTCCGGACCCTCCCTCATTCCCTCATTGCCCTTGATTTTTTTTCGATTCATTATAATTCCATGCTCACAGTGCGTAAAATATAATTAAGTATTAGTAATTTTTTATTAGTGTTAATTATTTATTTAGTAATTTATTTTTTGTTCCTGAAACTCTCGACAAAATAACAAACATATGTTTGGTTGCGTATTGGGATATGATACAAGAATGGTAGAACCTCGACCTCCTTTAAAAACTCTTGTATGGGCTACTGCCCAATGCCGTAGGTGTGGCGAGGTAAGGAAAAGGTTATTATTATAACTTAATAATAAATACGGAATATGTATTTACCTACAGAACTAAAATAAAAAATACGCTTTTAAAACTGCGTTTTAAAGCAAGACGCAAGATACAAACTTAATAATAATAGCCACAAATGTAATTATATCAAATGATGCATTTATTATGAAACAATGCAAAATTCTTTAAAAAAATAAAGCATTTTTATCTAAAGTTAATTGTTGTTGTTATAGTCGGTAGGAGACTTATATAGGAGACTCGAATTTTCCATTTACGATTACTAACTGCTAAAATTTTCCAGCGGTCACCCAAAATGTCTTGGCGGTACACCGGTCGATCGCGATCGACGTAATACCCACCCCGAGTATAGATTATACTGCTAATGATATCTTTTAGTGTGAAATAAAATTAATGATTTTTGGAATCTATAGTTAGTAACATACAAAAAAAAATCTTGTGTATTAAATGTGAAACATGTTTAAGGTATCCGACTACTTTCGGAACCGTGATTTTAAAAAAGAGCATAAATGAATAATTTTCATGATATTTAGTGTCACTTAGATTAGAATATAAGTATAAAATTGTTTTAAGAACATTTTGACAAAAAAAATTTATTTAAATGCAATATTTCGGCAAAAAATTAACTTAGAATAACCTTTTTTCAAAATGTTCTCCTTTTATAGGAAATGCTTCTAAAATAATAATATTTTGCTTATA